CTGACAGAAAATTTTCAATACATGATTATTAGACAAAAATTTTTAAATTTACAATAAAAGAGAGGGTTTCCATTTAACAATAAAAAAATTTCGATTTTCGTTATTTCCGGAAAAACCGGAAGTAAGCCAGGACGTCACAGAATAATTGAATCAATCAGAAGAAAGTGTTTCTTCCAGTTTTTCAAACAGAACAAAATTAATCAGATATCTCACTGAATAGTGAAGATAAGGGGAGTGGAACTTTAGTAGTAACCCTAACAATGTCACTGACCCATTTGACAGAACTGATACTTAAGTTGTCATAACGAGTCTTTAATAAATAAAATAACCAAACAAAAAAGACAAAAAAACAAAAATTAAAAAAAAACAAGAAACTTAAAGCACATTTTTAAAAACAAACAGAAGGTGTGATATAAAAGAAAAATATGAACATAATAATATTAAAAATAAAAATTTATAAAAAACAAAAACATAAAAAAACTCACTCAAATATGTCATTGAACACAAAAAAAAACACTAGGAAAACGCAAATTTTAAATTTCCATTTTCTCTACTAAAAACATCGATAACGGAAAACATAATTTATTTTTTAGTCAGCCTAACTAACGGACGATATGTGCGTATACTGACAATACAATTTTTAATAGAGTTCGTAATTAAGAAATATATATGTAAATTTTAATTTTAAAACTAGTGAAAAAATTATTATTATTATTATTATTATATATTTTTATTACTTTAGCTAAAAAAAGTCAATAAAAATCAATAATAAAACATAGGCAGGTATTTACATTTCCTCGTAAATAGAGATCTTGCCTGAGCATAATAAGTTGTTATTGAAGAATAGGTTAAATAATGTCAAAATAAAAGTATCACCATTATATAATAACGTAGAATTAAAACGTAATAACAAAAATAATTGGTATATTTGCGATTGTAATTTATATTTTCTTCATTTTTAGTTCGAAAGAACCCATAGAAGTTAATGAATAAAACTGGTTTCCTATCAATAAGTCACAAGATTGCATGTCAGCCATATACAATAATTAAAGGCAGAAATATAATCATTTACTAAACTTTTAAGATTTAAGGGATGTTAAAGAATATCATAAAAAAATAATTGCTTAATTATTACAAAAATAAAGGTTTTTGTTCTTATTATACAGCTGTCCATTTATTTCTTTTATTTAATTTCAATTTTGCTACTGAACATTCATATAATTTACAGTCTTTTTGCTAGTATAATTTGCAACATAGCAACTCCGGTTGCTCATTTTATTGTTTTTACCTACTTTTTTAATAAAAAGTAAAATGTATACGTGTATTTGATACGCCAAAATTACAAAATATCGCCCTAAAATACTCGAATTATCCGCAGTTTGCGCTAGTATCGCTTTTACTTCCCCTACCATGACTTCGCACTGATCGAATAGACCGCAGCCATGTTTTAACATGCCTAAGTGTTCCAAACGTTCTTTCGATTAACTCTGTCGTTGGTGGAAGAGCCATAAATATTTTTTAAACCATTTTGTGTCTAAATAAAATTCACAATATTTGGACGCTATATCATATTTCGTATTCCAGTTTGGTATTCAGCTTCAAAATTGTCGATTCCAAATTTTTCCACCACTTTCATTTTGTTATCGGTAGTGAAAAAAGTATTTTTTATGTTTTTGGGATGTACGTGCTTAAGGAAAAACTAACAAAGTCTTTGGAAAAGCGGAACCCAGATATGCAATAAATATATTCAACCTATAATATTCTTCAACTATATTAGCCTGAATATTATTTCTATGAGATTGTTGTTCGTAATGCATATCTTATGCGTTGTTGATTAAGCCGTAAAAGCCAGGGGGGGCAACTGCCCCCCCTTGCCCCCCCCCCCAAACGACGCCCATAATCCAATTTATAATGATTCGATTTCCTTTTAAGGAGGTCCTTTCGCCACCAATGTTAAATAAAAAATATTAGATTATGACTAAAATTAATTTTTTTCTAATAGTAGATGTCCTTATTTATCTAATAGTGAACTTTTAACTATACCTTAGCGTGCAAATTTTTAAGAATTTTTTTTTAAAAATGTGTGTGTTTGTACAGTGTCTTATGAGAAAGTAAGACTTCAACAACAATTTTCGAATTATAATTAATTTTACTATTATTTATTGATTAGATGGAGTAGAAAAAAACTAAAAATAAGGTTTTTGAAATATTTAGGTTTTGTTTTTTACAATAAAATATATAGGTTACCGTGGAATTTATTGAGAAATTATTATTAAAAAATCACAAAAAATTTTCAACTAGGTTACTTGAAAATTTTTGTGATTTTTTAATATTAATTTCTCATTAAGTTCCATGGTTTACTATATATATTTTATTGTATAAAACAAAATCTAAATATTTCAAAAACCTTATTTTTAGTTTTTTTCTACTCCATCTAATCAATAAATAATAGTCTAATTCGAGAATTGTTGTTGAGGACTTACTTTCTCGTGAGGCACTGTACAAATACTCACATTAAAAAAAAAAATTCTCAAAAATTTGCAAGGTAAGGTATAGTCAAAAGTTCAGTATTAGATAAATAAGGACTTCAACTATTAGAAAAAAATTAATTTTAGTCATAATCTAATAACTTTTTTTTAACATTTGAGGCGAGAGGTGTGGCGAAAGGACCTCCTTAACGAATACTTTCTTGCATATGATATATGCTGCGTTTGAGAATCCACATCGGATGCATCTGAGATGTAAAAAATCTTTGATCACGTGATGCAGTATACGTAAATGTAATGGGACAGATGTGTCCAATGTGGATAAAAAAACGCTCGAGATGTAAAAAATGCATCCGATGTGGATTCTCAAACGCAGCAATAATATATTAAAAGTATTTATAAAATAAATTTATAAAATGAGGTAGGTATCTACGCCTATTGCAGATCAAACAAAATGGTCGGTAATGGTTCCGAACGAGTTTTTATGTTCTGCAATTGATAATGGAAGAACTCAGGCGCCCGATGCGGTCAGCAATTAAAAGGATTATTATATTTATTTACCTTCAATTATTTAATAGCTTAATAGATAACAATTAAATCGATTATTAAGATGAGGCCTCAATAAGTATATATTTAGGAATATTTCGCAATATTATTCATTATTACTTAAGTGCCTCTTTGTGTATTTTATTAATATGGATCAGAGCTGGGACGAATCCTCAAAAAATTGATTCGAATCACGGGATGTGATTCGAATCACGAATCCTGTGTTCGAATCCTTTTTGCAATAAAAAAGAATTCCATTCAAGTGATTCGAACCCATTTTTTCAGATCACGAATACGAATCACTGTCAGCGTCTTACCATGGTAATATGCATGCTTTCGAATATTATATCAGTATAAACTATGTGTCTATTACCGACTATGACTTGCATACAAATGGTTGATACAAGAAGATGCTGAAAAGAATAAACTTATTTTTTTTCTTCTATAACTATGAACCATAAATAAATTAGAATCTACAAAAAATATATTTTATTTTAATACAAAATAAACAAACAATGAACTAAAAATGTTTTTTGGTTGGCCTTACATACATAGCAACAAAATTTCGAGGTGCGTCGATTATACCTGCAAACAAAAATAATCGTTAGACTGCACCAGACGAAGGAAGGCAAGTGTTAAATTTTACAATTTTTTTATGTTGGATATTCATTACTAATTTGTGATGTCAAAGAAGGCAGCAGAGCACCTAGGCAATTTTGAGTTGAAACCTATGCCATATTTTTAGGCTGTTTTTATGCTACTGGTTTTTTTTTTGCAAAAATCAAGGTGCTCTGCTAGCTTCGAACGAAGCCAGCAAAGCACCTCTGTTTCAACAAAGCACTCTGTATTTTTTAAAAAACACTAATTTTTTCGAAAAGTTTTATAATATCTTAAGAGCCTAAAAATAGCTCAAACATGTGACAAGTAGATGTTTCCGAGTGAGACGCGATTTTAACATTGGTGGACGCCCAATTGGATCAAGCGGCAAAGTATTACTTTTCGCTCAATTCTAAAAACCATAAATGAACATTTAGCAGAATTTATTGCTATTGGCAAAGAATAGGCTGAAGAGATTTTAAAAAGATTATTCAAGTCAAAATTTATATTATTACAGCCAGTAAGTAGGCCTTTACGAGAAAATGAGTAGTATAATTGTGTAGAGCAGTGATTAATTACTTACAAATGAAACTGTGTATAAAGAAAATAGAATCAGGCCCAAAATTGATCCTTGTGGGACACCTATACTAATACAAAATCCGAATCAATTAAAATACATACGATACGGGAATGAATAAAAAAAGTCTGACTTATCTGTCAAAATAAAAGATTTATTACAGTAAAAACCATGGATACATGATGAAATCTAAACGAAAACTTTTATTAGACCGATCAGATGTATTAAAATTTTAATTTTAACTACAAACAAGCATTGAAGGATGGGAAATAAATAAAATGTCGACCTCTTGAACCTGTACTAAGATCTGCAAATTAAACTACTGCACTCCTCTTTTTTCCAGACTATAAAAAATCCAACTTAATGGCGTTTGTTAAAACCAGAAGTCGAGTATTTTGTTTAAATAGGCATAAGTGTCATTTTGAAATTATGTATGCTCGGTTGGTCGCAAAATTGCTTCTTAAATAAAAGTTGTAATTGTCACTCGGTATACCTATGTTAAAAATTAATTTTATACCAATACAATAAAACTATTGACGCACATCAACAAATGGTAATAATTTGATAAAAATCAATAAAAAGTAAACATTTAGTAATTTTTATCTAATTTCAGTAAAACATTTGAGAAATTTACCGTAGTAAATCAACCATGAGATCGATCCTTGTAATTTATAAAAATAGTAATACCTCTAATTTATTACTTTCCGATAAAATTTTAGTGACTTACAATAAAAGTTTAATTCCCCCTAATAAAAACACTGGGATCTTTATTTGCTCTAATTTGTTAATTTTTTGCTAAATGATTCAGTAGCATAATTTCTGCCAGTAGCATAATTTTTGTCAGTGGCATGATACAAAAAAAAAATGGACGAACCAAAGATTAAAGAGGGAGCAAGTGATTTTAATTTAAAAGAAGGAAATGAAGAAAATACAAATATCGCGAGAGAAGAATATAGTCAAGTGGATTCCCTGCCAGATCGGAATTCTAAAGAAAGCCAAAGAGATAAAATTTTTACCATTGGAACAAATTCAGACAGGGTAAGATTTTCACGATAAGTTTTTTCTAATTTTGAAAATATCTTTGTCATCAGTTGCGAAAATAAAAGAATTAAATAGGAATTTTTTCGTTATCAAATCAATAGTTTTTGTGTTTTTGATTGGTTATAATATTGAAACAAAGAAGGTTGACTATATATAAATATGCTAGACATGATAGAGTCAGTGTACTTTTACATAGTACCTAATTCTGGTTCGACAGATATTTTAAACTTCTTGGATTCATCCTCTACAAACATAAAATATTCAGTGAAACAGTATTCAATAAGTATTGACGACTTTCCATAAAAAATTTACAGGTTGAAACAAAAAGATGTACATTAAATTTAACCACAGTTTCTGGGATAGAAAATAAGCCGATTTAAGTTATGATTTATTTTGTCACTTAGTATTTGTTATTAAAATACTTAATTACTGAGTTATATGCCCCTGAAGGAGGGTAATAGTGAAAAATATTCACAATGAAATTTTTCTATTGATCTGAAACCACTAAATATTTTTTTAATATTTTATACCTTAATTTACAATTATTATCCCCTTGTATTACCAATCATCTATGAAGTTGTTAAAGGGTGAAAAAATCGTGAAGTAGTAGTTTCTCATTATAAACCTTCTTTCAAGGGTCTATAACTTAGTAATTGAGGCTTTCAATAAGAAATACTAAGTGCTAAAAAAATTCATCATATATGTAGGATTTCAGTTGCGTCCTGTTTTTAACTGAATTTCATTGTCAAAAAAGTGGGGGGCGAAAGGAGAGCAGAACCTTTCTAAAAACCTATAGAATTAAAACAATTTTGAACGCCACTGACCTTATTTTATTGACCAGTGCATACTTACATCTTATGTACATTTTCATAAAAATATGTTAAGCGCTTTAGAGTAGGAGCAAAAAATCACTTCTAAAATTTCTACTTTAACACTCTGTAAGTTTTTTACTATCCATTTTTTACGTAAGCAAGTTTCCTTAAATCGGCTTAATCCGCTTATTTTTGATCCCAGAAACTGTGGTCAAATTTACTGTACATCTTTTTGTTACACCTTGAATACAAGACTCGATATAAAGGGTGAGCTCACGGTAACGCCTCGGTCTGTAGAGCCAAAACTTATTATTTTTAAATCTGTTTTCACAGCGAAATTTATATCATAAAAGGAAAAATTAAAAATAATTTCAAATAATTTTTTCACAAAAAAAGATATTGCACCGGTATGCACTCCTGATGCACTCATATGCACCACCAATTAAACTTTTTGAACCCCCTCCCTTTAGTAGTGATAGCTGTTTCTTTACCGTGAGGTTAGTCCTCCCGATGATACTTTCAAAAAAAAAAAAAAATTGCATCGTTATGTACTGTTGATGCACTCATATGCTTGCAAAGGATTTCGTTTTTTTTCATCTATTTACCTTAAAATGTAGAAAGTGCCCAAAACCCTTCAAATGCGTCAAAATTCCCAAGAATGTTCACTATTCGAGATAAAATCTTCAAGGGCATACGTGATTATATTAACACTATTAAGACGAACAAGACACAAGAAATTAAACACAATTTTGAGGGACTAAATCATTGTGATTATCACTAGAAAAATAGTCTTCATCGTCTGCTAATTGCTTTGTCGCTTATATCTATATTTTTATTATTTTTTGTATTAAACACAATTAGATTAGTTATTATGATCTTCCTACTATAAACACAGTATACAGTGTGTCTTACTTAGGGTTGCCACTTGTGATTTTTTGAAAAGGACAGTCCTTTTTTGAAGTAAAATGTCCTTGCGACTTTTTAAAGCCTAAAATGTCCTTTTTACGGCAAGTGTCCTCTTTTACGACAAATATCTTTTTTGACGACAGCACATATTTTTGGAAGGGGCATGACATGGTTTGTACAAGACGAGGATTTTTTGGTTGTCGACGCCTAATTTTTTTTTTTTTGAAGTTTAGAAGCATAAGGACTTTTTTCTTTTTGAATACGAGAGCCCCTGTCAGCATCGTAGTCCTTTTTTTAATTTTCAAAAAGGTGGCAACCCTAGTCTTACTTAAGTCGGCAACATATGGAAAACTTTTTATTTGTTTTATGGAAAACTTTTTATTTGTTTTATGAAAAAAAGTTATTCATCATAAAAAGTTCTGCATGGTCTAAATACTAAAATGAAATCACCAGGTATCAACTTTTTTCAGTCGTATACGAGGTTTGTCGAAAATTATTAATTTTATGCAGGAGTAAAGTTGTACCTGTATTTTTAATAATATCGAAAATTGTTTTTTTTTAATTTGGTGTCATCGGCGTCGACTACTACGGCCATTAGCCTCGTGTTCTGTGTAGGCTTTGTTACTGTATCCAGGCGCCACTTTAGGAACAGCACTGTTAATTATAACCCAACAGTGAATGGTCGAGTGGGGAATCCTACCTATGCATTAGAATTAATATTGAATTTTTTTTTAATTAAATAAAAATTCTTGCCACCGGTGAGATTCGATCCTAAGACCTTCCGATCTCAGAGTCATGACTCTAACCACTGAGCCAACCCACCCCCCTCGAAAATTGTTATTAAGAAAATTTGATGTATAAGGTAAATACATTAAAAATGCACCACTAATAAACATTTTTGCATCCGATTTGACATATGTTCTGTTAGAGGTGTTGAAAAGCTTATCGCTCGTGTATCATCAGGTGAATCGAGCATAAGGTATTACGTTACAAACGACGAAATGTTTGATATTTTGCATGATGCACATTTGGCCATTGGACATGGTGGTAAAAATCGCATGGAAAGTGAATGTAAAAAAAAGTATAAGAATATAACTCAAGATGTTAGTTATTAAATTATATCTCCGCTTGTGTAAAGGTTGGCAAAATAAACTAAAATCTGCCAAGAAAGGACTTGTGGTTAAAACAATGGTGTTTTCGGAGATGAACAGCCGTTGTTAAGTTGACCTGATTGATATGAAATCCCATGCAGATGGAGAATACCAATTTATCATGGTCTATCAAGACCACTTAACAAAATTTATTCAAATACGTGCATTAAAATCGAAAAGGGCAGAGGAAGTTGCTAAGAACCTGATAGACATATTTTGCATTTTTGGCGCCCCATCTATACTACAATCGGACAACGGGCGGGAATTTGCAAACCGTGTCATTGAAGTGTTATGTTCCATGTGGAGTGGCCTTAAAATAGTACATGGCAAACCGCGCCACAGTCAGTCACAAGGCAGCGTGGAAAGAGCAAATCAAGATATACAAAATATGCTCATGACGTGGATAGACGATGAAAACTGCAGACGATGGTCAGAAGGTCTGAGATTTGTCCAGTTAATGAAAAACAGGGCATACCATGATGGAATTAAGCGAGCTCCTTATGTCGCCATGTTTAGATATGATATTAAAGTCGGCCTATCAACCTCAGCTTTTCCAAAAGAAATCATTGAAAATCTACGCTCCAAAGAAGAGCTTGAGAGGGTTGTCAGGGAGTTTGGTGTGGGTGAACAGCCTCAACAACATGAACAAACTGAAGACCAGCCTATGGATAATGACCCAGAAATAGATATCCCGCAAGAAGAAGATATTACTGAAAGTAACAACCTACACAAAGATATTATTGAAGGTGAAAAATATAGAAGAAAATGTGGATAATAATTATAGAGGAAACAGCGCCAGTAATATAGAAACTTTAGAAAATCAGACCAAATATGCAGAATGTGATGAGCTATGTACATCGGCCAGTATAATGTGTGAACTTTGCTTGTACCAAAGAAAAATACAGTCAAATAGACAGGACGCAAAAAGAAATGTAGAAAATCAAGCGAAAAAGATGAAAGCCTTATCTAATTTAAAATTCCCTCCATGCTCCGTTGGAGATACAGTCAGAGTGAAAGTTCCAGACGTTGATCGAGGGAGGGGCAATTTTAGAAACATTCTCATGACATTTATCAAAAAAACCGAAGACAATTTTTATAAACTAGCTAACAAGACAGGAACTATCGAGGAAATGTTTTCCAGGAATCAATTTTCTGTATGTAGTGAGAAACTTGTAGATCTGGAAAATGTATCACCGGAAAAGAAAAGTTTGCGACAAATTGCAAATGAACAGTCACTTTTAGGAGGTCAAGGTTATAAACGTTGCAACTGTAAGGTTAAATCCGTGACCAACAAATGTAAATGTAAAGCAATAGGAAATCTTTGTAACTCGAAATGTCACTTGCTTAAATAAATAGATTATAGTATTCTTTACTTTGACAGGACAGAGTCTTAGAGTTTTTAATTTTATTTATGAAATGTGTTTTTTTTTAAACATTTATGACCTTGTTGTTTTTGTTACACCCAACTTTAACCAAACGAAACTGGATAGAACGCGGTTTACCCGGGTAAAGCCCGAAATATGTGTAATGTAAGTTATATTTCGTACTTCACCCACGTTTTCTGGGTATTTCGCAGTTTACCCGGGTAAACCTAAGTTTAACAGTTAATCTAACTTTACTCGTAACATATACATTATTTACTCACTTTTAGCCCTAAATAAATTTTGGCCAATTCGCACGTGGATGCACATTTTAATACTCATAATATTTCATAGTACATCTCTCAATTTTAAACCAAATAGAAAGGAATTACTTTATAAGCTTACTACAACATACTTGGTAACAGTATTTTAGTTACTCTGTTGACGACACACATAATGTAGTAACTAGTAGTAACGTTAAATGTGTAACTTCATATATGTCAAATTTAATTTAAGTTAGGGATTTCTAAACCAAATTAGAATTATAAGAGATTTTAGGATCTTTTGATTTTGTTATTTATTTAAAATGATGTCTCCTCCAACAAAAGAAAAAAGGTTCTATTTTGTGTTGAAATATATTTCCATCTTTATGTTTTAATATCTCTAGTTATTTCAGTATCCTGTATTTAAAATTTAATTTTTTTCATAGTAAATACAAAAATGTTCAAACAAACCCTAATCACAGAAAAACTTATCTCTTCAAATTT